ACACTGTCTGAAACAGTCCTCTGACTCATTTTTCCTTTAAACAGCAAATATGGTGGTGACTAAAGCAACTTAAGCAACAAATTGAACTGCCGTAATTGTGGCTCCTGTGGTCTTTAGTAAATGATAATTCTTCTGATAGAGGAAAACATTTTCCCATATAAATGGAGGTATAACTTCATATTCAAACAATCTTCTGGGGTAGGAGGAGAATAACTGACATCCCACTTAATTAGACATTAAGAAAAGCTATAGAAGAGTAAAGACCTTTAAAGATACTTTAAGATACTATCACATCAGTAATTTATTTCCCTCACTTACACATCCTGTCCTCTCTATATTAGAAGAGGAAAACTGAGAGACTTCCTCTCTCTCTAAAATGTGCTTATTAGATAACTTCTAACTTTTCATGGGTGATATACTACATTAGTCACTGTTTTCTACAAAGGAATGACTGAAGACAATAAAATTATTTTAAGGAGTGTACACAGTTTGAAATTATTGTGTTCTCTTTGTTTTTCCATTTAAATTAGCTCTCTCAGTTAAAACCTTTCTAGATTTCTGTCCTGGCCAATGTGGCTCAGTAAGTTGGAGCATTGTCCCATAAACCAAAAGGCTGCAAGCTCTGTTCTGGGTCTGGGCACATACCTAGGTTGTGGATTTGATCCCCAGTTGGGGCATATACGGGAGGCAACCAATCAATGTTTCTCTTGAACATTTCTCTCTCTCAAAGCAATGAAAAAAATAGTCCTCTGGTGAGGAAAAATAAATAAATAAATAAAATCTTTCCAGATTTCTAAATATCGATATTTTTGTCCTTGCTAATTAACTTTTTGTTTTTCCATGATTTTCAGAATGCAATGCCCCTTCACCCTCTGGAAACCTAAAAAGCTTTTGTTCCCCTGAGGAGTGAATTGCAATGATTTTCCTGCTTATTCCCTGAGCTCTCTACATCTCTATAAAGCTGTCTTGTAGGGTGACTCAAACTAAACATGGCCAACCTGCAGCAAACCTGCTCTTCCCACTGTGGAAGGCGCACAGGTTAGTAAGGGACATCACCATTTACACAGACGCTTAAGCCAAAAATCTGGTGTCATCCTTGATTCCTCCCCTCCTTGTCTTTGCTCCCACACTCATTCTGTTTCTATATCCTGTTGATTCTTCCTTCCAATGTCTCTCAAACCTGCTGACTTTGCTTCCGCCATCTCCCTGGCTCTAACCCTAATGCTGGCTTTCAGAACTTTTCACCTGGACTTCTGCTTCATAATTGGTCACTATTTCATTTATTATTCCCATGCCTCTCCAGCAGACAGAGTAATCTTTTAAATATGTCAACCTAACCATATCTATTTGACAAAGCTGAATGTCCTTTCATTGCTAAAAGGGCAGAGAATGAAATCTTCAGTGTGGTTTCTCAGCCCCTCTTGATGTGGCCCCTGCCTATTTCTCAAATATCACCTCTCAGCATGCTCCTCACAATCAAGCTGTACCTGAAGCTGCAGATTCCCTAGATATCACCATCCTTTCAAACCTCTGTCTCTTGGTTCAGGCCATTTTCTTTTTGGTTTATCCCACACCCATTCTCCTTCTCTTGGAAAAGGTCAGGTCTTTCCTGACTCTCTGAGCCAGGTTGTGTCCCACATCCATCACTCTTTGTAACCATTTGCCCCATGCCTGTCTCCTACTAGAATGGAAGTGCTAAGAAGAGGGGCCATGTTTTGTTCATTCTAGCATCCTTCACACTGAGCACAAAATAAATATTTCTTTAACTAAATGAGTAGTGTGACTCTAACTGAAAACTCATTATTGAAAAACATTCAGAGTGACCCAATTATTAAAAAATGTAAGAAGCTCTTTTTCGAGAAGGAACAATTGGCCACATTTGATCTTTGGTAAATATCTGTAACATTTCAGAGTTTAACTCTCAAATGTTAAGTCTGCAGTCAGATTTGTACTTCATCAGACTTGGTGTTCACCAATCCAGGCTTGGTGTTCAGCTGCCCAAGCTGGTGTCTGGGCTGATTTATTTTAATTTGACTGGGTGAGGTTAGCATCCACAGCTGTTGTGGTGCTGCACAGTCACTCATTTGCCTTTTATATCAGAGTTTTACTGATTGAGAGTAAACAGACAACCCTCAAAAGACTTACTTTTCAATCTTTTAGCAGAAAACAACTAGCACTCTTACTCAAAGATGTGCATTTACTGCTTTCTTGGATTGTGACTATTTGGATGTGAGGGAGATCTGGTTGCGACATCTGTCACCCCATTGATCGCCAGGGTTGATTTGGCTGATCTGGCTGGCTAGGCCGGTGTCCCCTTCCTCCCCTTGCATCCCTCCCGAAGCTGCGCGTTCGGTCGAAGAGGACGACCTTCCCAACTAGAGGAGAGGACCAGTTTTCGGTCAAGGGTATACGAGTAGCTGCGCTCCCCTGCTAGAATCTCCAAACAAGCTCTCAGACTGTGACTATTCTTTGCAAGAAAATGAAAACAATGAGTGGAACTTGAGGTTATTTTTTAAGTTTGAACATGTCCTCAGTAGATAAAATTTTAATATATGATCTTTGAAAGTAAAAACCTTTACCCAAAAGCTAAACACTAAGGGTGCTTAACCCTCACTCCCTTCATTCAACAAATGTTCAACAAACACTACAGGCTTGTGGTGGCATTATATTTTAATATATTTTATAATGCACTTTGACCACTTATTTCTTGTTACCCTGTGACCCTTCAGACAACAGCTGGGCATTCTATTTGTTTGTGTCGGCGGGGTGGGGGGGTGGTTTAACAGAAGAACACAGGAGAAAAAATTCTTTCTTTTTAAACTTTAAAGGCCTTTAAGCTTCAAATCCTAAATTCTGAAAGACTTGTGGCATAACATTTTTAAAAACCATATAATTAGTTGGAACATTTTTTCTACCTCCAGATTAGATATGGAATCTGTGCCAAGAGAAAAGAAGAGGAACAAAGAAGAGAGGAGTGGAGAGGTCCAGAAGGAGACAGAAGAGAAGGAAGGAGGATAGAAAGGGAGGGAAAAAAAGAGGGGGAGGAGAGTCAGAGAGAAACAAAAGAATGAGATGCCAGGGACCCCCACATAGGGCCCTGTTCTGGACCTCTCTGGACTCTATTCACCCAGAGAGAAAGATGAACCACCTAACAGCTTCGGGGATCTAAGTAAATGGGAACCAACCCCACCTTTCTCTGGTAGGGTTGTTAAAAGCAACAAGGTGTCAGAGTTTTCCTGTGCTCATCATTTATCAGCTAATATCTAATGAGGAAAACAGAAGCAATTCTATTCAAAACCAAGGAAATTTAACTGTGACAGGGAATTGTCTACAGAGGTGGTAGAGAAACTGAGAAGTCAAGGGGATAATGATACAATCTAGAGATTAGCAATGTCAGGAAGCCACTATTAACCCTGTGCTGTAAGGACAATGGAAAAGATGGTGTTATCAGAGCCCAGGGCCAATGTTACCCAGGGAAGCTGGTACCACAATACACCTGACTAGGCAGTTGGTCATTAAGGAAATGCAGCTGCTAGTGATGTAAAGAAAGGTGAAAGAAAATCCTGGTCTCTTCTTTCTTCTGACCCTTCAATTGCTCACTAATATCTCATGAACACCAAACCCAACTAGAGTCCCGCTACCTTGAGTCAGCCACTCTGTAGCAGAGTAAGAGACGGGTGAGGCATGGGCCGGAAGGCAAATACACCCTGGGAGGAGGGAAATGTTTCATGAGATGTCTAGGGACTATGGACCTACAACAGTCTCACCGGGTCATCATGCCCCACCAGGACCTAGAGAACTCAGAACAAGGCACATGTGATGGGGAGCCTGAAGAATTGAAGGGGCCTTAGTGCTGGCACAAGGAAGACACATAAGGATCTACCTAGATATGAAACCAAAGACCAAATAGGCCCTCAGAGATCCCAGTGGATTCCAGCTTAGACAGAAAACAGCCTTGAGAAGATAAGACTTGACTCCACCATAATGTATCAGCTGCATATAATTACTCCTGCACCCCTGCTCTCATACCACTAGCAGAGTAGAGGCTGAATCTAGATTTGCTCTTAGATAAAGAAAGAAAAAACCCAAAACTAGTGGACAGACAGAGTCTTTCATCTAAAAGAGCCCACTGAATGTTGAGAAAGATGGACACATAGCAGATGTCAGCAATGCAGTGAGACACAAAGAGAAATAAGTCACGTTAAAGGAAGCACTGGGGCTGGAGATGCACATGGAGTAGCTGCTTGTCTGCAAGGTGGGGCTTCTCAGAGAAGTCCTCACAGACAGGTGACATTTGGTGAGTGTAAGGAATTAATAGGGATTTAGCAAGCAGCTGGAGGGAGAACCTCCCATCGGGTGTCTTCTTCTGTTCCTCATAATGCACTGATATGCAAGAGACGCCAGTACATTACTTATCTGACTACAGCCCATTGAAGGCTCTCAGAAACATGGCCTAGCCTTCTGGCTTCATCATCCATTTGATTAGTGAATGAGGCGGTGCTGGGGTCATAGGGTGGATGTGATCTGTGTTTCAACTCTAATGAGTAGCAGCAGCAGCTTGCAAGAAATCAGTTCCTTATAATACCCTTCTGTAGACTTGATGGCGCTATTTCTAGACTTCAGTTTTGAACTAGACATAAATCCCAAGACACTCAGGTGTCTTCACATATCATAGAATGTGCAATCCACAAAAAATGTATGTAATATCTAAAATATATTATTTCCACATAGACCAACTACTATTATGAAACAAATTTTAGATCTAGCATGTAACACTCTCCTCGCAATATTGTATTTTGCCATTTTTTAAATAGAGAAACATCATGATTTCTTTACAAATAATCTCATCTATCACTATTCCAGAAATAATATTCCTAGGCCTGCCTTTTGTAATCTAATAATTTAAGAAATAAAAATAATTATTCTCTCCATTGTTTACAAATTGGAAGATGATATTACAAAAACGAAAATGTTATAACTGCTTTGAACATTTTTGTTACCTCATTTGAGATACTTGTTCCAGAGAGATCTAGTGATATCAAGGAGAAAATGTTTATGATATATTCAACTCCTGCGTCAGTAACACTTTCACAATTTCGTAAATTCAAGTAGTTTAAGTTAGGGCAGCTGAAAGAAAGCAGCATAAAAATTAATGTTAGGTTTTAATTACACTGTCAGTAACTTTCTTCACATAAAAACTATCTGGGAAAACAAATGGCATTGAAGCAAGAATTTTCCGTTTCTCAACATGAAACTAAGTTTAAAAGTGGAAATAATTTGGTATTACAAAGTTGGATAGAAGGGAGGTAGATTATCATATAAGATATTCTTTCCGTGATTTCATTTTATATTGCAATTTCTAATAAGAAAAAAAATATAGCATACATATCATGGAAATAACACAATGAATGGCCATGAAAAGTACAAGTTTAAGTTTCTCATTTATCCCTTATGAGTTTGCTACAGGAATTGGGCTTTATCCTTAGTGTACACAAGGCTTTTGACAAGTAAGAAGAATCAAGAACAAACCCACCAACTAGAACATCCCTTAGGAAATGCTTGAGTAAATGTTTAAATAGAGATAATATCCTTGAAAATTATTGGGAAGTCACTCATGCCTAAATATTCATAATTTCATGAATGGCTTCATTTAAAACTTTCTCTGCCCTGACCAGTGTGGCTCAGCTGGTTGGACATTGTCCCACAAAGGGAAATGTTGCCAGTTCAATTCCTGGTCAGGGCCCATGCCTGGGATACGGGTTCGTTCCTCAGTCAGGGCACCTACAAGAAGCAACTGAGCGATGTTTCTCTCTCACATCAATGTTTTTCTCTCCTTTTTCTCCCTTCCTTCCCCATCTCTAAAAATAACTAAATAAAATCTTTTAAAAAATCTTTCTCTAAGGTGAAGTTAATAAGAAATATCTCATATACAATCAAAAGATTAGTTTAATCTCTGACTCCAATGTCTTTTTTTTTTTTTAATTTCACTGAGCATTGGGGCAACTTCTGGAATCCCTGATGTTTTCCAAATGGCTTTGAAATTCTATCTCTGATCTCTGCTGTTAGCAAGTATAAAATTACTAATGATATGATTTAAAATACTGTTTTTCATACCACTCTGGTAGTCTCACAAAAGAGGCATCACTCAAAAGGATACAGTTACTTAAATTTAGCTCTCTTATCCTTTTGCTTGCAGGACCACCAAGAAATTGCTTTAGTCCCATGTCACCAATTCTGTAAGAAAGAGGAAAAAAAGCTTTATGTGTGTTTGATATATAAGTATACAGAATACTATTTAAAAAGCAGTTAATACACCCATATATTCCAAAACAGCAAGACAATATCTTTATACTGGTATTTTGTTAAGATTTTAAAATCAAATTTGATTATATGGTTTTTAGTTTAATAAAAGAAGTATTGGGTTGGCCAAAAAGTTCATTTGGTTATTTCCATACCATAGCTCTAGTAGCACTTAGTTGTCTTTAACTTCATTTGAAACACTTTTGTTAGACTGTATTGTGACAGCTGTCATATCAGTGTGCATTTAAAAAAAATTAAAAATGGTGAATTTTTTGTGTAGCTATTTTAATATTAAAGGTAGAAAAAAATAAGCAACATTTTGGCATATTATGCTTTATTATTTCAAGAAAGGTAAAAACACAACTGAAACACACAAAAAGGTTTGCACAGTGTATGGAAAAGGTGGTGTGACTGATTGACATGTGTAAAGTGGTTTGCAAAGTTTCGTGCTGGACACTTTTCACTGGATAATGATTCACAGCTGAGTAGAACAGTTGAAGTTGACAACCAAATGAAGACATTAATTGAGAACAGTTAATGTCATACCATGCAAGAGATAGCCACATACTCAAAATATCCAAATCAATAAACTTATTGATGAAAATGAAAAATTTGTTTTTATTTTACGGTAAAACCTAAGTGGACTTTCTGGCCAACCCAGTATAAATGATAGTAATGGGAGAAGTTTTAATAAAAATGCTATTCTTGTTCATTTGTTCACTTAAGTGGCATAATTATTATAATTTTTAAGAAGACAGGTGGTTTGGCTGGTGTGGCTCAGTGAATTGAGTGCCGGCCTGTGAACCAAAGGGTCACAGATTCAATTCCCAGTCAGGGCACATGCCGGGGTTGTGGGCCAGGTCCTCAGTACGGGGCACTCAAGAGGCAACCACACATTGATGTTTCTTTCCCTCTCTTTCTTCTTTCCTTCCCCTCTCTAAAAATAAATAAGTAAAATCTTAAAAAAGAAAAGAAGACAGATGGTTCTTAAGATTTCTTTCTCTTGGGTTAAAATGTGATCAGGTTAAACAGTTCATGATGCAATCTTCTGCAAAAGAAAAAGACAAACTTAGGAGACTCACAGTCGTACTACTGCCAGAATCTTAAAGGAATTTCCACTAAATACAAGGTCGATTTAGTTGGACTAAAAGCCCCATAAGTGACCTATGGACCCTTTCCTTCTGAAGCAGAGGAAATCAAGTAGTTAAGAGACTGGGGTGGGGAGGGGGAATGTGAAGGACACAGGAAAGAGTGGAGTCCACATGCAACTGATCAACTTATGTATTGGTGAACACCAGAGCTGGAGTATTCATGGAAAGATATTTTCACTAACAAGAAAACATATGGAGTGGGATTTGTAAGAGCTGAAAAAGCATACTTCTGAAAATGACTTTAAAAAGAAGATGCAAAAATACTAGAACATTTTGAACTATGTGATGGAGGAGTCAGAATTAATAAAGAGTGATCTGGCTGAAACAAAAATATAGATTGTCTAGATGCATTTTGAGATGAAAAATGGCCACCTGAGATAAGAACAGAGAGCACAAAAATTAAAAATTTAGTAACAATAACCAAATTTAAGGCAAATTTAAGCCAAAATTCACCTTTAGAAAATTAAATTAGTAAGTAAAAGGAATATTTTAAAAGCTCCTTTGGAGTACAGAATAATAAATAATTAAAAATAAGAGAGATAGAGAATTTAAGGTTCAATCTTTAAAGATTTTTGAGGAAAAGACAAAAATAAAAACAAACTACTAGTTGGAGATGTGTAAAATCTTTTTAAATAGCAAAACATGTAAGAAGTACAAATTTGTAGTTACAGCATAGTCATGGGGATATAAAACACAGTACAGGGAATATAACCAATAATATTGTAATAACTATGTTTGGTGCCAGCAGTGCCAGGGTAACCTGACCAATGCCCTGAATGCAAGTCAGAGAAGAGGGGAGGGGCCAAAGAAAGAAACCACAGGAGGCAGGGGCAACACCATATTGGCCCGCTAACTGAGCTACCATAGTACTTCAGGACAGATTCCCCATGCCCAGGCAAAGATGCAGCACTGGAAGAAGTCATTATGCTGAGCATGTGAAAGCTAGCCAGGTGATTAGCTAATTGAAAAGCTTCCTACTTCATTCTGGTCCCTGGGTGGGGAGGGAGGGATGGGGACAGAGGACATAAAGTCATGTGACTTTAGAGGTCAACATGGCAGCAGGGGGAGGTGCTGGTCCTGTCAGTCTAGCTTGGGAAAAGGATGGGATTGGCTGGGCCCCAACCCTTCCAGAGCATACAGGATTTTGGGCTGGGAGATTTAAAACAAGGGAAGGAAGAAACATTCTTACTCTTGGAAACACATTACACACATGCCAGCCAGAGAGTTTGAGCTGGTCCTGGAAGCTGCGTGGTGAATGGCAGCTCTAATAACACACAGAGACTCCAGGAGAAAGCTCAAAGCCAGACAACCACTGGTTTAGCAGCCTTGGGTTCCAAAGGACAGATAAAGATGGAGCAGGGATTTTGGACACTGTTTTGGGTTTTAGTCTTTCTGGGAACAGCTAGGTTTTGTTTGTGTTTTGCAGAAATGAGTCTGGAGATAGGAACTCCTCTGAACTCCCAAATTTTGCAACATTTTAAAAAGGACCTCTTTCCTTCCTCACCAGCATCTGCCTTTGAAATTTGCCTTTGGGTGATGGCATGCAGCTGAACCCCACTTTTGTTCAGTAACACCAGGTGGGTACTGGAAATATCAGGGGGAACACTTTGTAAAGCACATGATTGTCTAACCACTATACTGTATACCTGAAACTAATGCAAAATAATATTGAATGTAAACAGTAATTGAAAAACAAAATTTAAAAATAGCAAAACATAATCCGTACATTAAAAAAGAGAAAACAAATAAAAACAAAAAGTGTAAAAAAGTACAAATAGAACACATAGATGCAAAAGACCAAATATAAATAATAATAATAATAACTATAAATAAGTTGAAAATATTCCTTATTATAAGACAGAGATTCTCAAACTGGTTTAACAAATAAAATCTAAATTATAAGTAGTCTATAAAAAGCACATTTAAAATAAAATGACAACAAAATCAAAAGAAATTTCAAAGTTGTATTAGGCAAATGTACATAAAATTAATACAGGTGTGGTGATTTTACATTGAGTCAAAATACTATGATAGAAAAAATATTAAATAAAATTAACAAGATAATTTTATACTGATTAAAAGTACCACTCCCAATGAAGACAATGTGATTAAATATAGACTCTTGAGATCATATCCTTTCCCCCTTGAATATGTGAGAGTGAAATTGGTGTAAGTATGTAGCAATATGAAAATATATGTGTGTGTGTATGTGCGTGTGTTACAAAAATCAGTCTGGCCTTGGGTTTCTCCTCTGCAACAGAATTAGTAAACATATGTTATTATATAAAAATATCAACAAAAATAATATAAATGTCCATTATAAATATATTTTCTGTTACAGAGAAGAAATCCAAGCTCATTTTGATTTGTTCTGGTAATTTTAGTTACGAATTTTTATGCAACATATAATATAGCATAAATACAAAGTAAAGCAAACATTATTAGAAATTCAAAAGGAACATAAATAAGATACAATTTTGTGATAGACTCAGCCATTTGAGTAATGTAATAATGTAACTTAAATTCCATAGAATATTTTATAATATTAACATGCTAAACACAACCATCACCTTCCCCACTACCCTTGTCCCTAAGTAAATAAAATCTCAGTTCCAAAAGACTAAAATTGTGCAGGCCATAATTTTGTAATACAATGTTATAAAACTAAAAATTAATGACAAAATGGCCCTGGCTGGTGTGCCTCCGTGGGTTCAGCACCAGCCTGGAAACCAAAAGGTCACCAGTTCTGTTCCCAATCAACGCATATGCCTGGGTTGTGGGCTTTGCAAGAGGCAGCCAATCAATGTTTCTCTGAACACTGATTGTTCCTCCCCCTCCCTCTCTCTAAAAAATAAAATCTTTTTAAAAAATCAGTAACAAAATGCCAATTAGATGTAAACTACTTGGAAACTTGAATCATCCTTAAAAACTAATTCTTGGATAAAGAGAAAATCATGTATTATAAAACTATACATTTTCCAAAATTAATTTATATATTTAACAAAATTTCAATATCTCAATAGAATTTTTTCTGAAACTTGACAAAATTATTCTGAAGTTTATTCAGGAGAATAAACTGGCAGAAATATCTTACTTGACTATTGATAAAGATAGCCTCATCCTATTAACTGGATATTAAAACATTATAAAGCAATAATAATAATAGTAAATAACATTAATTGAGTGCTTATTGTATGCCAGACATTATGTGATCCTCACAACAATCCTAAGCATATACTTGGATTTTCCCCATTTTACATGTAAAATACGGTGCAAGATTAGATAGAAGACAGATAAATGAATGGAACAGAAAAGATAGCCTTAAAACAGACACACACACACACACACACACACACACACACACATACACATACATATGAAGTCTGTCTGGAAAAACTCCAGCTATTGTTAATATAAAGAGAGGATTTGTGAGAATTAGATATAACCTGGCAGCCAAGGAGAGTGGACTGGAATGGGCAGGTATGAACAATGATGACTTCACTGTACTAGTCAGTGGGGGCAGTAGATGCCACTGAGTTAGCATGTATATTGTGTAGTCATCACAAAATGACTGAGTGAATAGAACAATAAACATGCATCGAATTTTGCGTTAAGCTTGAACATTCTTCCATGGAAACTATTCAGATGCCATAGCTATGGGCAGCTGGTGGTCGGCAGCTTCATGTATGTGCAGATTTTTTTGGCAAAACATCAAATCACCCAGGTGACTCAGCCCTCCCCCGCCACAGCCCAGATTTGGCACACTGCAACTTCTGGCTTTCCCCAAAACTATAATCACCTTTGAAAGGAAGGAGATTTCAGACCATTGATGAGATTCAGGAAGCTATGACAAGGTCGCTGATGGCAACTGTGAGAACTGTCTGAGGTCCCAAAGTGCCTACTGTGAAGGAGACTGGGGCATCATGGTCTTATATACAATGTTTCTTGTATCTTGTCGCTAATAAATGTCTCTATATTACATAATTATGTGGCTGGATACTTTCTGGACCAACCTCATATACTCACATATATGTTCATGCATGTACATATATGTGATTATGTATGTGTACCTGTATGTGTATATATACATATAAACCTATATTATAATCCAGAAGGCATCAAAAGTCAAAAGGATTATTCAGGTAATGGTCCAAGTTAATTGGTTAATTCAGTAATTTCAAACCTGGCTGTACATCAAAAGCATGTAGTTTTTTTAGAAAAAATACATGAGTTGGGGTTCTATCCCTAAATAAGTCAGATTCTGTACCTCTGGGATAGGGCTCTGGATGTAGTGTTATTCAGCTCCTCAGTTGATTGTGATGCCCTAGAACTTTTACTTTTAAATCATGTATGTATTTTAATTTATCTTTTTGTTACTAATTCCTGATTTAATTACATTGTAGTGAGAGAGTATAATTTGTTGATAATTTAAAAGTTGTAGGATTAAAGGATTAATGTGTGGTTGAGAAATGTATATTCTTTGATTCTCAAGCTTATTGTTTTAGGTGTGTCTTTTACAGATGAATTTTTTAAACCTAATCTAAAACTGCTATATTAAATCATTTCTGTCTTTTCACCTATGTTATACTGTTTCATATTTTTCATCTTTTTGTTTTTTACTCTGCTGTCATGGAAGTGGTTATCTTTCAGTTTTGTCCTTCTCTCTTCAGTGAGTTCTAATCTACTGCTTGGCCATCCATGAGTTTCTTTATTTCAATAATTATAGTATATTTTTATTTCTAAAAGTTAGTTTTTAAAAATAAATCTATTAATAGTTATTTTTATATTTTATTGCCTAGTTGTATTTCTGATTCCATTATTTATTTCTTCAAACATATCATACATATGTAGTTAATATTCTACATCTAGTAGTTCTTTTTTTTTTAATTCAAACATGAATTATTTGAAAGTCAACTATATTTTGCTGTTCCTTGTGACTCCTTTCATGGTGACTCATGTCTTTGTACACTTGATGATCTCTAACTGTGAACACCTATTTATTTGATCTTAATCTTTGGAAATCCTGAGGGCCTAAATAAAAGTTCTTTCCTCCAGAAAAGTTTTGAGCGAACATCTTCTAGAAGCCAGGGATGCTACCTGAGCCCACTCTGTCCCCCTTGAAAAGGTCCAGACCTTGCAGGATACTGGATGTTAGATATTTTTCTTACTCTTTATGGCCTTGCAGTGTATTGAAAACATGTTTCATCTAGGATCTAAATTGTTTGTAGCAGTGTCCTTTGAAGGGGTTTGTAAACTACACTGCCTGCAGCAGAAAACCTCCATTTATTTTAAAAGTAGTTGACCCACAGAAGCCTCAGTGAAATAGATGAAATTCAATTTTATTTCACATATCAATAAGATTAGCTGTTACACACACATACACACAAGCACACACATACACTGTGCTTGCATCATGATACTAGCCTCCTCATACGCTTGCAGTCAAAAATGCAAGCAGGGGCCTTAGTCATGTGGAGGCTTGACTGAGACTCGAGGGTCTGCTTCTGCTCTCACTCACATGGCTGTTGGCAGGAGGCCCAAGTCCCCTGTAGCCCTCTGACTGGGGGCCTCATTTCCTAATCCATGTTTTTCCCATTTTAAATCCTATGTTACCCTTCCCAGACACATGGTACTTCCCCACCTTAATAATAGGTAACATGGGTTAAGATTTTGCATTGTGTAGCTGAGCTTATTATTCTGACTTTATTTTCCCAAATATTAGCCAACTTCATTAAGAGTCAAATGCTAATTTGTTATCTGGCCCTATACTATTATAAGAAATTTATGTGGGCAAGAGGCTGAGATATTTATTGGGGAAGAGGTTTTAGCAAGAATTTGATCCCTGCCCACCTGAGAATACCAGGATAGAAGCCCAATAGTAGCCCAGCTGAAGAGAGTTTTAGTAAGAACTCACCATCTGTCTGTCAGCAAACTCACACAGAAGAGAAATGTAACTCCAAGACTGTTTCCTCATAAGCAAGTCTGAAAGTCCATTTGGGAAAAGACCTGTTCACTGAACTAGCTGTGACAACACTCATTAAGAAAGACAGCCCACAAGTGTTTCTGTAAATTCATTTAATCTTACAAAGGCCCATGATTCTGCATATCCTGAGCTTTCTCTGAGAATCTCCCTGCACCCCCATATAAGCAGTCTGGGTTGGGTGCCCCTCCTTTGCGTTTCCATAGTATTCTACACTTACCTCCACTTGGACTACTGACTGTCATGTTTACTCTACTACCAACGAGCTCCTTAAGGAGGCCTGCACAGTTCAGGTTTTCGGAGTTTCTTGAATATGTGATTGAATGACTCATTACCTTATACAATTTGCCAAATTCAACACACTGAGTTGTTTCAACGGTGAGAGTGACTTGAGGCTACAATTTGTTATTCTCTTGCAATCCACCATGTAAATGTGACTAATGTTTGGATAATGCTTATTTATAAACTTGAAGCAAGCATCAGTAATCCTTTTATTTCCTGTTTAAAAAACAAACAAACAAACTGAAGATAGGACATGTACTATATTTAAATTGCCACAACAGTAAAAGTTAATGCTGAACCACATTTTTAATATCACACACCTTCAAATCGGATCTTTCTCAGGTTACAAGTAGAAAGAGCTTTGAAAGCACAATCAGAGATGTGTGGCGCACCAGTGAAAACTACTGATGTAATATGAGGACATTTCTCAACTAAAGCCTTTAGAAGAAAAAAAAGATGATTAAATCAAATCAACCACAGTACAAGCTTAGCAAAGTAATGAGGTCACTTTTTTTTCTCTCAGTGGTTTTAAAAACAGATACATTAACTATTAAACTTTTTTTTATTTTTTCAAATACATTTGTCTCTGCCTACCCCCCACCACTTTTCCTTGCCCCTCCCTCAACTCTTCCCCTTCGGTTTTGTCTATGAGTCCTTGCTGTATGTTCCTTGACTTTCCCCTTCTCTTCCTTTTTAAAAGAAAACAGAACTTTTTCCAATGTATTTAACACACTTACCTTAAAATAATGCAGAGGAATCAGAATTAAGTCATTTTATGAAAGTATGTGAAAATATGAGAAAATAGAATGCTGAAAAAAATCACTACATTTAGAAACTTCACATGTAGGGCTAAACTTAAAATTTATGGTTAGGTTATAATACCACTGAAACAAAAATATCTTAACTGTGAAACAAAGTTTCTTAGGGTATTTAAGGATTCAAATGTTCAAATGTGTGTGTGTGTGTAAATTTTAAAAAATTTTCTCAGTATATAAAAACAATAGGAAAAGCCCACTCATTTTTTAGTAATTCAAGCCACTCAAAATGTGCCCACATAATGGAACCGAGGAGGAAATGAACTTTCCAACTACTTACTTTCACACAGCTGTCCGTCAGAGTTGGCATGTCATTGATGGTCAGATGCATAATTCCAGTGCAGCTGTTTGCGATGTCCCTGAAGCCTTGGACTGAAATCTAAATTGTACATAGTAGGTGAAAATAATAGGAGAACCCATTAGCATGAAATCTAATAAAACCCTCTGATAGTAATAACCAAAGGTATGTCATGATTTTGCTACTACATTATAAAATTGAAACCATAAAATATGGCAGAATAAGAGATAAAGAATCTAGTCTTGATTTCTTTATTTAACATTTTATTTGTATATATTGTTAAATGATCACCACAATAAGGCTAGTTAACATATTAATTATTTGAGGTAAAATTCAAGTAACATAAAATTAATCACTTAAATAAGACATTTAACCATTAATAATTTTGTGCAACCACAACCTCTATCTAGTTCCAAAACATGTTATCACCCTAAAACAATGATTTTCAACCTTTTTCACCTCATGGCACATATAAACTAAATACTAAATTTCTGTGGCACACAAAAATGTTATATTTTTGTTGATCTGACAAAAAAATAGGTATAATTTTGATTCATTCACAGCTGAAGGCTATTGTTGCATTGGCTGTCATTTTTTTATTTGACAGTCTAAGGGAAAAGAGGTCAGTGCCCCTGACTAAATAGTTAGGTATTACATGTTTTAAAATTCTTTTAGCATACCAGGTGAAAATCACTGCCCTAAAAATAAATCCTGTACCTACTAAGTACTTGCTTCCCATTCTTGCCTTCCCCCATCCCTGGTAATCACTAATCTGTGTTCTGTCTCTATGGATTTACTGATTCTGAATATTTTCTATAAGTGAAATCATATAATATGGGGCTTTTTGTATCTAGTTTCTTTCACTTAGCATAAGGTTTTTGAGGTTCATCCATTATGTAACATATATCAATTAGCATCTTATTTGTTTTTATAGCTGAATAATACATGCTATTGTACAGATATAACACATTTTGTTTATCCCTTCATCTGTTCATGGCTATGTGGGTTGTTTCCATCTTTTGGATATTTTAAATAGTGCTCTTATTATTATGCATGTACATCTATTTGTTTAAATACTTTTGAATTCTTTTGGGGAGGTTATATATATATAATCTATATATATATGTGTATATAAATATATATACACACATTTTCTATGAGTGGAATTACTGGGTCCTATGGTAATTCTGTTTAACTTTTTAAGGAATCACTAAAATGTTTCTACAGTGGCTGCATCATTTTACATTCCTATCAGCAATCTATGAGGGTTCCAATTTCTTCACATCTTTACCAACACTTATTTTCTATATTTTTATTTCTTTGCAAAAAATTTCCTGGTGAATTTGAAGTAGTATCTCATTGTGATTTTGATTTGCAACTCCCTAATTACTGATGACATTGATCATTTTTCATGTGCTTATTAGTCATTTGTATATCATGTCTATTCAGATCATGGGACTATTTGAAATTGAATTATTTGCCTTTTGGTTGAGTTGTAAGTGTTCTTTATATATTTGAGATACTAGACCCTTAGATATATAACTTGAAAAAATTTTCCTCAGTGTTTAGGTTGACTATTTAAATAATTTCCTTAGATGTATAAATTTTTAATTTTGATGAAGTTCAATTCATCTATTTTTGTTGTTAATATTTCTCATCCTTTAAGTATTCTAGCTAAGAATCTATTGCCAAATTGAAGGTCATGAAGATTTACCCCCAGTGTTTTCTTCTAAGTTTTATTATTTTAGCTCTTATAATTAGGTCATTGGTCCATTTGAGTTAATTTTTGCATATGGTGTGACGTAGGGGTCCAACATTATTATTATTTCTTAATCATTTTGCATGCAGATATTGAATTACCCAGAACCAATTGTTGAAGAGAATATTCTTTCCCCCATTGAATGGCCCTGGCACCTTGTCAAAAATCAGTTGGCTGTAAAACTACAGGTTTATTTATGGACTCTCAATTCTATCTCGTTGATGTATATGTCTATCCTTATGCCAGTACCACACTCTTTTGATTGCTGTAGATTTGTAGTACTGATTTTTTTTCTTTCAACCACCATAATCCATATTAATGGAAACAGCAGTGGTGGAGAGTGTTTAAAATAATGACTGGTCAAAAGATCAAATATATTTGCCTATGATGAATTACCTTAAAATAACTTGTTATTTAGATTCCATTTCTTATAACAAATGAGCATTGATGGGAAATCAGATGATGCTCCAATTCGGCAATGGGAAACTGAGACCCCACCCAGGAACAGACCACAGAGGAAGCAACCCTGCAGAGTCATCTTCACAATAACATGACAAGGAGAACAAGGAACAGCAGCTACAATGAACCTATTGGAAGACGTTGGAGACTTCATGTGTACCATCTCCCACTATAGGTGGCTTCCAAGTTTCTGTCATTAGAACCTCCATTTATTTGAAAAAGACTAGCAAGGGTTAGGCAATTGAGTGCCACACCCCCAGAACAACCACAGCTTATTTCAAACATCACTTCCTCAGGTTATTGTTATGTACTTATAGCACCAATTGTCATAACTATAATTAAATTAATTTTATGCTCAGTAGTTGAACTAAGTTCCCTATACCGCACCTACCAGCAGAGTGCCTACTATATTAACTGAATAGATAATCAGGTAATATTACCATATGAAAAAATAGAAGAATGTATGAATGAATAATGAGATCCATGCGTTTTGGGTAGGTTCTGCTGCCCAGCAGACACTGACAGCGTGAATGCCAAGTCAAAGGCAAGGGGAAGCCTTGAAAGCAGAGGGATGAACATGCGAGCTAGAGCTGTTGCAGATTAGGTGGAAATATATTTTGTGCTATGATCTGAATGTTTGTGTCCCCCCACCCCCCAAATTCATATGTTGAAATACTAAACCCCAAAGATGATTTCATTAGGAGATGTGTCTTTTGGGAGGTAATTTGGGGCTCTGCCCTCATGTATGGGAATAGTATTCTTCTAAAAGAGGCCCCAGTGAGATCCCTCACTGCAACGCACTATGTAAGGTAACAGAGACAAGGTGCTGTCTAGGAACCAAGAAGTGGACCGTCACCATACACTAAATTTGTCAGCACTGTGATCTTGAGCCTTCCAGCCTCCAGAACTGCAAAAAATAAATGTCTGTTTCTAAGCTACTCAGTCTATATATATTTTTATAGCAGCCTGAATGGACCAAGATACTTAGATACAGTTTTTTTCTAAACAGCCTTTGGGAAAGATGTTTCTAAAGCCTGAACAATGTATCTATTTTGGCCCTGGAATTTCTTATACACAATTATCCTAAGGATATAATAGCTGCATACAGAGATTTATATACAAAGATATTCATTGCAAAATTCCATGATATTGAAAAAAATGATATCAAACTAAAATTCCAATAATAAGAAATAGGTTAACTAAACTATGACAATTCTTATGATGGAATGTAATACAGTTACTACAAATAATGTTTTGCTCATGGATTGGAAGAATAAATATAATGAAAATGTTCATACTACCCAAAGCAATTTATAGATTCAATGCAATCCCTATTAAGATACCAATGACATATTTCACAGAAATAGAACAGACATTTCAAAAATTTATATGGAACCATAAACAACCCTGAATAGCCGCAGCAATTTTGAGAAGAAAAACAAAGTAGAAGGGATCACGTTCCCGGACATCAAACTATACTATAAAGCCACTATACACAAAACAATCTGGTACTGGCACAAGAACAGATCCATAGACCAGTGGAACAGAATAGAAAGCCCAGAAATAAGCCCAGGTCTATATGGGCAACTAATATTTGACAAAGGGGGCAGAAGGATAAAATGGAGAAATAATAGCCTCTTCAACAAATGGTGTTGGGAGAGGTGGACGGATACATGCAAAAAATTGAAATTGGATCATCAGCTGACACCATACACAAAAATAAACTCAAGATGGATAAAAGACTTAAATATAAGTTGCAACACCATCAAAGTCCTAGAGGACAACATTGGCAGGAAACTCTCCGATATCCCACGCAGTAATTTTTTCACTGATATGTCTCCTAAAGCAAGGGACATAAAGGAAAGAATAAACAAGTGGGACCTCATCAAAATAAGAAGCTTCTGCACGGCTAAAGAAAACATCAGCAAAATAAAAAGGAAGCCAACCGTATGGGAAAATATATTTGCTAATGATACATCAGATAGAGGTTAGATCTCCAAGATATATGAAGGACTCACTCGACTCCACTCCAAGAAGACAAACGATCCAATCAAAAAATAGGCAAAGGACCTGGGCAGACGCTTTTCCAAGGAGGAGATACAGAGGGCCCAGAGACATTTGAAAGGATGCTCGGCATCACTAGCCATCAGAGAAATGCAGATCAAAACCACAATGAGGTACCACCTCACACTGGTCAGAATGGCCATCATAAACAGATCAACAAACAACAGGTGCTGGCGAGGCTGTGGAGAAAAGGGAACCCTAGTACACTGTTGGTGGGAATGCAGACTGATGCAGCCATTGTGGAAAGCAGTGTGGAATTTCCTCAAAAAGCTGAAAATGGAACTGCCTTTTGATCCAGTGATTCCCCTGCTGGGACCATACCCTAAGAACACCAAAACGCCAATACAAAAGAACCTATGCACCCCAATGTTCATAGCAACACAATTTACAACAGCCAAGTGTTTGAAGCAACCTAAATGCCCATCAGTAGATGATTGGATCAAAAAACTATGGTACATTTACACAATGGAATACTACACAGCAGAAAGAAAAAAAGAACTACTACCCTTCACGACAGCATGGATGGAACTGGAGAGCATTATGCTAAGCGAAATAAGCCAGGGGGCGAAAGACAAATACCATATGATCTCACCTATAAGTGGAACCTAACCAACAATACAAAGATGCAAGGAAAATAAGACCAGCAACACTGAAAGGAAAAGAAACCAACAGAGACAAGAAGGAAGGAGGGAGGGGGGCAGGGAAAAAGGAAGGGAAGGGGAAAGTCAAGGAACATATAGCAAGGACTCATGGACAAAACCAAAGGGGAAGAGTTGAGGGAGGGAGGGAGGGGGCAAGG